CCAACTGTCACACAAATTGCTTACATGTCAACCATGAAGTTACCTGATGTAACCCTCTCTGTGATTTTGCCATATGGTAGATTTTTAGTGATTTTTGTATATGCTATTTTGTTGTATTTTTTGGCAGAAATGCTATTTTCAAGATTTTTTCTTTCAAACTGCTAGGTAGTTTTTATTTCAGGGTAAATATTCCTTATTGGCTGAAGGTGGTAATTTGTTCAAGTCGCATAGATTGACTAATAAATCTGCAAATTGGGTCAAAATGCCAAAACATCTAATTTCTGTCATATTTAGCGTGCAGATACATGGGCTAATACTTTATCTTGTAGTTGTTGTTTTTGTTGTTGTTGTTAGTGATTTATTTTGTTCTATGTATTTTTTGTTCAAAACAAAACTTTTGAACTTTATATATGGCAGAACCAATCTGTTGTGAAATTTTCTAATTTCAGCTACAAAAACAGATTCATCTTGGCCTTGACACACTTAAGCAAGTATTGTATATTATACTTCTAGTTCGTTGCTTGGCTAATGTTATAATTACTGATGAGCGTCAGGCCTACAGGCTAATTTTTGTTAAGCGAGTCTCTGTTGTATAACGTTAACATTTGCGAGTGCGCGGCCTTAGTGTGGCCCGTGGCTGTACATTATCATCTCGTATTTGAGCTTAATGCGGGTCAAACATTATGATCTTTTAGACAGTGAGTTATGTCAATTTAGAGTGCATTTGCGATCCCTGGTCAATGTTGTATGAATTTATTATTTTTAAGGTTTGTATTTCATGCACTATATAAAAGTGCCAGAGTCACACATCACGCGTTCGAATGAACTTATTTCCGGTAGTCTGTAATATCGTGTACCCGGTTTGCGCATATCCGTCTAGTCACTGAGAGTCCGCGTTTATTAAACGATATTTCGGACCGTAATTGAGGACAGGATGCTAAGTGTGGTGTAGAAAGGTGCATGACCGCAAACATTGGCGAGGCGCTTTGTCGTCGGTTAGAATCTCCACTTCATGATGTGCATGTTATTTATATTAAATGTCTTGGACTAGTCCTTGTGGAAATGAACAACTGATTATGCATTTCCCCCAATGGAATGCCTTCACATCTCCAAAGGGCTGCAGTGTGTAGCGTATAAATAAAAGATTAACTTAAGTCGTGAAGTACAGGATGAAAGTTTAAAAACGCTTTGAGCGTATAATCAAAAATCTAATGAAGTTGTCCGGCTCCAATGCATGTGTACACCAGACAAAGTAGAAGACTCAATTAACAATCAAATAGCTGTCATGTACGTCAGTAAAACTAACGTAATTTAAGAAGCGAACAGACGCAGATATCAGATTGACGCCCTGACTGGCAGGCATGTGTTACATCAACTCAATCGCTCACATCAAAGTCCAGTCTCAAAAGATGTCTACGTAGTGTCGTGATTACCGAATTAGCACTTATACCACTGCTCTACGTATACCTCAATACTATATTATGAATAATTTAATTAGGTGACATGGACAAGCACATCACGATAGGCTCAACTATTTCATTTTCTTACAGTTTCAATTAATTGTAGATTTGTTAGTCTCTAGCAGCTGTCCGAATACAAAAGAAAAAAAAATGTAGTTGGACAATTGCACGACCAATCAAAATGTACTTTAACGATTTTTTTGTAATATCTTCAATAGTTATATCCGATACAGAGATCTTTTCTATGAATATGTGCTTCCGGAAAATTTTCTTGTTCAATCGTTCATTATAAGAATATTAACATAGTAATATGAATAGAATAACGGAGATCATATTAGTGACAATTTTAAATATATATTTAGTTAATAGCATGCCGTTCAACTATAATAAAAATTCAATGTACATTTGAGTTCATTTGTTAGTGGTTTTTTGCTGTGGTGTTTATATTATAGCAGGTACGTTCAGCGGGGACACATACAGCAAGATAAATGTTTATTGTCAAGTTCAAGGAATCGTAACTATCACAAGAATATAACCAACTCACCTATTGTATTTGATGTGTTTTTATTTATATTTAATGCACTTTTAGTGATTGCGTCTGAAAGTGGACATGTTTCTGTCTTCCCGAGTTATATGTTATATTATACGTGTTGTTCGTGTCAAATGAATGAAGTTGTTATATCTCTGATGATTATTTATATACTGTAAATATTTTATTGCGTCATGTTCAAAAAAGCAAAGAAAGAAACGTTACCTAATTGAACTTTATTGAATGTATGAGTTCAAATATTGTAATTATTTTATTCAAATGTTTATTGAATGTAACAGCACTCGCGCGTTAATATATTACATGATTTGCGTATATATTCATGCATCTATGAGCGCGTACGAGACGATCCATTCCATTTCAACGCCTTAGTTCAATTGGTCATAAAAAAATAAGTTTTTAATCTATATTACATAATAGTTTTACATGACATGATGATTCTTGGAATCACTAGTAACCCACCTCGTATTTTTTTAGGAATCAAAATGATAGGAGCATTCGTCCAAGCGCCATCATAAAATGAATTAAAATGAAAATAACGGTTATGAGTATACAAACTACGTTATTGAGATGTGTACGATTCACTGACAGTTTAATAGTAGTGAGAAAATATAGATACCCTGGAAAGGTCACAAAATTATATGTAGAAATTCTTTTGTTTTTTCACTTAACGTTACATATTATCTATATACGTCTACACGCTGGCTGTTTTATTATTTCTAAATTTTGGCCTATATTGTTTTCTTGGCGCATATTTTATGTGTGTGTAAAATGTAATTTGGACATAATTGTGTTTCAGTAGAGTTCGCAATTAACGTATTGATACGCTACCAGCTTTCGAATAATCAAAAGAGCAGTCATACGAAACTCAAAACTGAAACTGACATATAGATTTTTTTTAATTATGCCAGAAATGGTAAATCATGGTGAATGTTCCAGCTTACTTCTCTACAAATCGTTGAAAAAAGGATGAGCAGACACGAAGCAGAGTGAGTGTACGGTGGAAGAGAAATGAATTCCACTTTATTATATTTTGTCCTATTGATAAATGGGACCCGTAGATCCTGCCACTCGTTTATCTCCATTGCAAACAGTATTACTCAACAAACAAATAAACAAACAAACAAATAAATAACAGACTAAGTCTTATATTTAGTACTTTAATGACACCTTTGGTGAAGCTGAATTAATTCCAGTTCAAAAATAATAATCACACACGTGCATCATCATTGTTTATGAAACAAATACATTGATTAATATATGCAAATAATACCGATTGAAATGAGTGGTTAAATCTTGTAGAAATCACAAATCTTACAAAGCATTTTTTCTACCGAGCTTTTCAAGCGACGACTAAATGTGAATCATACAACCTTGCGATAGTGAACACACGTCATTTAACATTCACATAAGACTACATCTTATTTTGTACACATTATACAATAAACAAACTGAATATTCAGATTTCAAGTTATGTTCCAATGCAGGATTTCTGAACTTACACTTTTTGATACTGTGAGTATA